AATATTGCTGTAATGAACATTAGTATATGTGTATATCTGCTGGTGTCCTGGCTCTTATTTCTTGAGGATATATATTAAGTAGAGGGATATCCATACAGTTTTCTTAATTTCCAACTTTCTGAGGAAGTGCCATACCATTTTCCACAGTGGTGGCACCATTTTACAGTTCCACCAGTCTCACCACACTCTTGCCAGCCTTGGTTGGTTTCTGTATTTTAGAACTTTGCTCTAATACTGGGCGAGATGACATCTTATTGTCATTTTACTTTAAATCTCTCTAATGGCTACTGATAGCGTAGTGGTTACGAATCGGGCTGCGAACCGGAAGGTCAGCAGTTTGAAACTATCAACTGCTCCTCGGGAGAAAGATGAGGCGATCTGCTCCCGTAAAGATTTACAGCCTCGGAAACCCTATTCAGGGTCGCTATGGGTCGAAACCGACTCGACGGCACTTAACAACAACAACAACAATGGCTACTGATGGAGTCCTGGCGTGGCGCTGTGAGTTAATGCACCAGACTGAAAAGCCGTTTGAACTACAAAGACCGTGGTTCAAGCTCGCCAGCTGCTCCTCGGAAACCCTATTCACAGTCCCTATGGGTTGAAACTGACTTTACAACAACAATGGCTAATGATTGTGAACATTTCTTCCTATGTTTATAGGCTGCCTGAGTGTCTTCCTTGGTGGAGTGACTTGTTTGTTCATGTCCTGTGCTCATTTTTTAATTGGGTTGTTTTTGTGTGTGTGTGTGTGTTTGTTTGTTTTTTCTTGTAGAAGTGTTGTATAGTTTTTAAAGAAAGTTTAGAGATTAATCCCTTATCTGGAATATTGCTGCAAACAATTTTTTCCAATCTGTGGGCTTTCCTTTGATTCTCTTGGTGAAATCCTTTGATGCAAATAAGTGGTTAATTTTAAGAGATCCCTGTAATCTCTCTTCTCTTCTACTGTTTGTTTATTTTTTGTTATGTTTGTCAGTGTATTTATGTCATGTATTAGAACCCCTAAGTTTGCCACTAGTTTTTTCATTGATGATCTTTATAGTTTTAGATTTTACTCTTTACTTTTCATTTTTGTTATTAATTTGATTTTATTTCAAGCTCACTGGTTTGGTTTCTGTTACTTTTTCTATTTTTTCTAGGTCTTGTTTTCTCCCATTTTTGATTTGATACATTCATTCTTTTGTAATATAGTCAATTAATAATACAATTTTCCCTCTAAGAATTGTTTTAGATGCATATTGAAATTTTGATTTACGAAAATATTTTCAAATTTACCTTTGAACCTATGGATCCTTTAAGAAAAACAAAAAACAGTTGCTATCTGGTTGACTTCGACTCATGGGAAGGCCATGAGCGTGTCAAAGTAGAACTCTGTGCCTAAAGGATTTCTTTTTTCTTTCCCTGTCACTCAAGTTAACACTTAGCAACTCTGTAGCCACTGAATTGCTTTCTCTCCTTTCCACCATGGTAACCACCAAAGAATGTGTATTTGAGCGTGAAAACCTTTTCTTAACTTCTTATAATAGAGGTCTCATGCAATATTTGTCCTTCTGTGGTTGACTGATTTCACTCAGCATGTCTACCAGATTTATCCATGTTGTGTGAGGTGTTTTCTAGATTCATCTTTATTCCTCAACATTGCAGAGTATTCCATTGTGTGTATGTAACAAAATTTATTCATTCTTTCATTGATGGGCATTTAGGCTGTCTCCATCTTTTTGTTATTATGAGTAGTGCTGTGGTGAACATGGGTGTACATATTCATGTTTTGGCCTTTTTTATTTCTTGAGGCTGCTATATACCAACTAGTGGGATTGCTGGGTCATATGGTGTTTCTATTTCCAATTTTTTGTAGAAGTGCCATATTGTTTTCCACAGTGAGTATACCATTTCACAGGCCCACCAACAGTATAGAAGGATTCCAGTCTCTGTACCCTCACTAACATTGTTTTCTTTGTTTCTTAAACTTTGCTGTTAATGCTGGGGTAAGATAGTAACTCATCTCTCTTATGGCCAGCGATCATGAACATCTCTTCATATGTTTGTTGGCTACCATATTGTCTTTGGGGAAATGTCTGTTCATATCCTCTGTCCATTGTTAAATTGCATTGTTATTCTTGTTGAGGTGATGAAGTTTCCTATAAATTTTAAGGATTAGTCCCTTGTATAATACGTCATTATCAAAATATATTTTTCCCAACTGTGGATTTTCATTTTTATTCTTTTAGTGAAATCGTTTGATGCACATGTGTGTTCAGATTGTAGGCGGTCCCAGTCATCTGTTTTATATTCTGCTGTTTATATGTTTTCAATTATATTTGATAGTATACTTATGCCATATATCAGAGACCTTACATGTTTGTCTTGAGTTTTTCACTGATCCTTTATACTTTTTAGGTTTTACATATAGGTCTAATCCATGTTGAGTTCTTTTTGTGAATGGTGTGAGATTTGTTTTGTTTCATTCTTCTGCAAATGGATTTCCTGTTTGCCAGTACCACTTGTTGAAGAGACTGTGTGGTCCCCATTTAATGTACTTTGGCCTTTTGACAAAGATGAACTGAATGTAGTTGAATATTGTATGGATTTACTTCTAGGTTCTCATTCTGTTCATTGATCTTTGTGTCTTTCATTTTACCTGTACCAGGCGATTTTGACCACTGTGGTTGTGTAACAGGTTTTGAAATCGGGAGGTGAGAGGTTTCCTATTTTGTTTTTCTTCTTTAGTAATGCTTTGCTTATCCTGGGTTACTTTCCTTTCAATATAAAGTTACTGATTAGCTTTTCCATCTTTTTAAAGAAAGACATTAGAGTTTGGATTCAGTTTGCATTAAATATGTAGATTACTTTGGGTAGTGTTGACATTTTCACAATATTAAGTCTTCCTTTCCATGAGGATGGTATGTTCTTTCATTTTTGTATGTCTCTTGGTTTTGTAGATCTCTTTTGTAGGTCTCTTACAGTATTGTAGTTTTCCTTTGTTTCTTTGATTAGATTTATTCCTAAGTATTTCATCTTTTGGGGTCTTGTAAATGTTACTGTTTTACAGATTTCCTTTGTAGAGCTCTCTTTATTAATGTGAAAAATCCCAACTGGTCTTTGTATGTTGATCTTATACCCTGCCACTTTGCTGGATCTTTCAATGAGTTCCAATAATTTTCTTGTAGAGTTTTGGGATTTTTTGTGTATAGGATTGTATAATCTGCAAATAGAGTCTTACTTCTTGTTTGTCAATTTGCGTGCCATTAATTTCCTTTTCTTACCTTAGAGCTCTGCCTAAGACTTCCAGCACTATAGTAAATAAGAGTGGTGATAAAGGGTATCCGTTATCATTTCCTGTTCCAAAGGGGAATGCATTCTCTCCTTTTATAGTAATGTTGGCTATTGGCTTTGTATGTTGTTGTTGGTAAGTGCCATCGAGTCGATTCTGACCCATAGTGACCCTGTATAGGGTTTCCAAAGAGCAGTTGATGAGCTTGAACCACCAACCTTGCAGTTCAAACAACTTTGCAGTCTGATGCATTAGCCCAAAGCCCCACACCAGGACTCCATATATACGAGTACCTAGATAGCACAAAAGGTTAACATGCTCTTAGTTAACCACAAAAGTTAGTGGGTTAAGTCAATCTAGAGGCATCTCAGAAGAAAGGTCTCATGTCTGCTTTTGAAAAATTATCCATTGAAAATTCTATGGCGCATAATAGAATCTAACAACATGTTAAAAAAAAATAATACATCAAGGATAGTTCAATATTAGGAAAACAAAGTGATCAAACACATAAAACAAAGGAAAAGACCTACATGTTCATGTCAATTGATGCAGAAAAGACATTTGACAAATTCCAACACCTAAGATGAGGCTTTCTACTCCCGTAAAGATTTACACCCTCGGAAACCCTATACAGGGTCTCTATGGGTCGGAACCGACTCGATGGCACATAACAACAACAACATTCCTGATAAAAATACTCAACAAAATAGGAATAGAAAGGAAATTCTTTAATGAAATTAAGGGTATATAGCAGTTCAAAACTACCAGCTGTTCCGCAGGAGAAAGATGAGGCGTTCTGCTCCCATAAAGACTTCCAGCCTCGGAAACCCTGTACAGGGTCGCTATGAGTCTGAACCGACTCCACGGCACGTAACAACAACAATAATCATAAGGAGATTTGGTAGTGTAGTGGTTACGAATCGGCCTGTGAACCTCAAGGTCAGCAGTTCGAAACTGCCAGCTGTTCCGCGGGAGAAAGATGAGGCTTTCTGCTCCTGTAAAGATAGATATACAGCCTTGGAAACCCTGTATAGGGTCGCTATGAGTCAGAACCGACTCCACGGCACTTACCCACCATCATAATGGTATATGACTTAACCCACTAACTTTTGTGGTTAACTAAGAGCATGTTAACCTTTTGTGCCATCTAGGAAGTTGTATAGATTATTTGTTGTTGTTATTAAGTGCCATTAAGTTGGTTCTGCTCATAGCAGCCCCGAATCAGGTTTTGTGGGATCGAGTTGTATGTTGGAACCGCCAACTTTTTTATTCAAATTGACCTTGTGGTCCAATGCAAATACTTTCCAAGTATTTGGAGATTATACTAATACTCATGTCTACTTTGTGAAGTTTTAAATCTTATACATTAAGCTTATTCAACCTGTAGATTCATGTCTTTATTATTTTTGAAACCAGTATATGGAAATTTGTAGTTGTTGTTAAATGGAAATTTGTAGTTGTTGTTAAGTGCCATTGAGTTGCTTCCAACTCATAGCGACTCTGTATAGAGTTTCCATGGAGTCATTAGTGAGTTTGAGCCACCGACCTTGTGATTGAAAATGGACTTTGTGGTCCAGTGCTTTATCTTACAGCACCACACCTGGAATCCTGAAAATCATTTTATTTCCCAGTTCTAAGCAATGGTTTGGAATGCTTCAGTTACTAATTCAGATATAACAGAAGGTCTGCAACTACTAATCTCTTGTGTTTATTTTCTCTCTTTCTGCAGCACGATGGAAGTGGTTCAGTGCATGATGTTCAGCTGTCATTACCATCTAGTCCAGAACCAGATGACAGCGATCAGGTGTATAAGGTATGATAGGGTGATTGTGTTGAATTATACTAAATTGGTTTTTATTACTGAAATAGTAAAGCAACAGCAATGAAAATATATAATAGTAAATGTATTAAAGCCTGTAGCTTTGCTGTCTTGATTTACTTTTAAAGTGATATCTCCTTCATTTTTTAATTTGGATTTTTTTTTAACAGGATCATTTGTCCCTGGATTATAACTGATTCAGGAATTTTTAAAAGACTATTACTTATACGCTATAAGTAATAGATTTTATAAGTTTATATGTAATAGATTTTAAAATATGACTACCAGTAAAGATAAAAATTTAGAAGTTATTTCTCAAGTATAATTTTAACCTTGAAATATATTAAATATGACATTAATTTGTGTTGGTGTTTATTTCATATTTGAAAATATAAAAGAATTCAGATGCATAGTAAGTATTTGAAAGTATATTTATTATTGTTGTAAAATATACATTTAACACATTTGCTAATTTATTGATTTTCACATATACAATTTAGTGAGACCAATATCATTAATTGTGTTACATCAACATTACTAATATCTGTTGCTGAATTTTCCATCACCATAAATAGAAATTCAATGCTTTCTAAACACTGATTCCCCCTTCTGCCCTCCCTTCCATCCCTAGTAACTGTAACAAATTTTGGTGTCTATACATTTGCCTGTTCTAGTTATTTTAGATGTGTGAGATCATGCAAATCTTGTCCTTTTGGGGCTGATTTATTTCACTCAGCATAATGTTTTCAAGATTCATCCATGTTGTAACATGTATTATTTTATTTCATTTTATGAATAAGTAATATTCCATTGTATGGATATACAACTTTTGTCTATCCCTTCATTTATTGATGGATATATAGGTCGTTTTCATCTTTCAGTTGTTGAAAATAGTGCTTCAGTGAACATTGGTGTGCATTTGTTGTTGCATTCTAGTGTCTTGGCTATTCATAGACCTAAGAATGGAATGCTGGCCTTATGAAAGGTTGCTTTGAACCTCAGACTCGTCGGCTCCTCAGAAACTCTATACAGGCTTGCTATGAATCGGAGCTGTTGGTGGCATTTAAACAGCAACAACACCAGCACTATGATGAACTATTAGAGGAATTGTCAGACTTTTCCACAGTGGCTGCTGGACCATTTTGTATTCCTATCAGCAATGAATAAAAGTGCTAACTTTTCTCATCATCGCCAACATTTGGTGTTTTCAATTTTTAAATCTCATCAATCCTGTGGGGGTGAAATGGCATCTCATTTTAGTTTTGATTTTCACTTTTCTAATGATGAATGAAATTAACATCTTTTTATGCACTTATTCAATATTTTTGTATCTTTATCAAAATGTTTGTTGAAATACTTTATGCATTCATCTGGATATTAAATCCTTATCTGATAACTGGTTCCCAGAACTTCTCTTTTGGACTTTGGATTGTCTCTTCACTTAGTTGATAAAATCTTTTGTTCATTAGAACTTTTAAATTTGGATGAAGTTCAGTTAACTTCATTCTGCCTTTCTTTCATTGCAAGCGCTTTCTATGTTGTATTGTTAAAATTCCCAAACAATAACCCCGTATTTTCTTTGAACAGTTTTAGCTTTTAATTCTTATGTTTTGAATATATTTTTATGTATAGTGTGAGGCATGACTCTTGCTTCATCCTTTTGCATGTAGATACTCCGTTGTCCCAGCAACATTTATTATAAGAGGCTCTTCCCTTTGCATTGACTTAGTACCTTTGTCAAAAATTAGTTAACTATAGATGTATGGGGTAAATTCTGGACTTAAATTGTATTTCATTAACCTATTTTTTGGTATACCATTATCAGATTTTTTTTAATGATGTAGCATTAGGGAGCTCTGGTAGTGTAGTGGTTACGAATTGGGCTGGGAACTTGCAAGGTCAGCAGTTTGAAACTACCAGCTGTTCCATGGGAGAAAGATGAACGTTCTGTGCCCGTAAAGATTTACAGCCTTGGAAACCCTGTGCAGGGTTGCTATGAGTCAGAACTGACTCCACGGCACATAACAACAACAACATAGCTTTATAGTGTGTTTTGAAATCTGGAAGTGTGATTCTTCCCACTTAGTTCTTCAAGCTTGCTTGGACTACTGAAGACGTATTGAAATTCCATATCAATTTGAAGGTTGGTTTTTCCATTTCTGCAAAGAAGCTTGTTGGAATTTTCACCACGATTAATTAGTAATTATTTTTGGTGGTATTGACATCCTAATGATGTTAAATGTTCCAATCCTTGAACATGGAATGTCTGTTTATTCAGATCTCCTTTAATACCTTTCAGTAGTGTTTTGTAATATTCATTGTGCAAGTCTTAGATCCCTGGTTAAATTTGTATTTCTTCATATTTTAATCTCGTATGTTATTGTTGTTACGTGCCATCAAGTTGGTTCCAACTCATAGTGTCTCTGAATAGGTTTACAAAGAGTGGCTAGTGGGTTTGAACTGCTGACTTTGTAGTTTGCAGTTTAGTGCTTATCCTACAGCATCACACCAGGGCTCCAGTCTCTAGTATACTTTTGTAAGTAGAATTGTTAAAAGAATATTTTATATAATGCATATTTAGGTTCATTTTTTTAGTTGCAGAAAACTGTCTTTTCTTCAGCATATGATGAAGAATTGTTTTGAAAAGAATTATTTATATATATATAATTCTATCCAACATCTTTGGGTAGAATTATTGTTGATTTTTATATTCTACAGCAACAAAAGGAGTCCTGTTGTGGCACTGTAAAAAAATTCACTGACTGCTCCTCAGAACCATCTTAATGGCGCTTAACAACAACAGCAACAAAACCCCTCAAAACAGTGATAGTTTTGTTTCAGGATTTTATATGTCTCCCCATTGCCTTCTTGCTGCCTGGTTTCTGCTGAGAGATCTGAAATTAATCTGACTTGCTTGCCTTTCTATGTAACACTTTTGTTTTCCCTAGCTGCTTTCAGGAGTGTCTCCTTATTTTTGATTTTGGAGAGCTTGATTATGATGTGTCTTGGTGATTTTTGTGGGGTAGGGTGTCTATCCTTCCTGGGGTTCGTTGAGCTTCAAGAATGTTTATCTTTTCACTTTTCAGGATGTTAGAGAAATTTTCTTCCAGCAATTCTTCAACTATTTCCTGTGTGGACTTGTGTGATTCTTCTTGTTCAGGAATGCCAATAATTCTTAAGTTATTCCTCTTCATATTGTCCAACATGAATCTTAGACCTTCTTCAGATTTTTTTTATCCTTTTTTTCTGTTTGCTTTTCTATCTTAGTGGTATTGAGTGATTTGTCTTTTAGCTCACTCTAGTTCTGCCTTCCATCTCTTCTAATCTTCTCCTTTGCCCTTTCAGTGTATTGTCTATTTCTGATATTCTATTATTGATTGTTTGGATCTCTTTCTATAGGTTTTGAATTGTTTCCAATGCTGCTGTAGCTATCTTATTTGATTGTTCCTGTAGCGCTCTCCTGACTTCTTCCTTATTTTTCTCACTCCACTGTAAAGTGTTTTGAAACATTTTATAATCATTTTTGTGAATTACTTCTCAGGCATTTCCAAGGCCTGCTCTCCTTTCAGAATGGAGTCCAGGTCTACCTCTAGGTCATTTGTCTCAGACATTTTATCTTGTTTCCGGACATGTGATGATATGGTCATCTGCTTTTGCTTCTTGGACATGTTTAGTGTTTATTTGTGGCCTTAATACTTAATTGAGTATGTGTTTTGGTATTTTTTTATGCTTTCTGAATGCTTTCAGATAGATGTGATCAGGATGTGGGCTTCCCTTTTCACTTTTCTTATTGATTAACTCAGAGTGACTTTCACAGGTGTTGTCTGCCACCCTGGTATATGGCAGTTGGTATTGATTCTTGCCTGGCTTATGGGGTTTTATAGGGTGTGATTGTATCTTGAGTCTATGGCAGTAATTGCTGTCTCTTCTTGGGTAATATAGGGAGAGAAAGAGCCCCCCAAAGGTAAAAAAAAAAAAAAATCTGTTGCCTTATCTGAGTATGATTTAATATCCTCTTTCAGCTTCTTGCCTTCAAGGCCACCTGATAAATTTCAAGATACCACTGTTGGTATTATTGCTGTTTTTCAGGATTTAGTTTTCGGCCTCTTTTGTTTTTAAACTCTCTCTCCCTTTCCACACCCCTTGTTCTGTCCTTTTCCCTATTAGTAAACAGTTCAGGGCTGGATGTGACCATTTTGAGCTAGCTGCCTATAGCTTTAAATGCTGAGAGTATCTGTGCATGTGTGGCAGAAGAACCCACCATTGGTGGAGGTAGGGGGTGTCCACTCACTCAGGCACCCCCTCTAGTCACCAGAATGGAGGTGCACAAACAGTGGGGCGGGGGAACAATGAACAGTTACCAAAAAAAAACAAAACAGAGCAAAGCAAAACCATCAACGTGTATTGTCCACCTTTGCTCTGGGGTTCCCGCTGCATTATTCCTTGGGTGGTCTGCTGGCTCCCCCACTTGACCTCGCTGTTTGGTCTCACCCAAGTTGTTGTCTCTGGGCCACTGAGCCTGGCAGATTCTAAAGTACAAGATTTCTTACCTCCGCTACAAGTTCCACTAGCTATAAGCCTTCAGACTTTTCAAATATTTCTAGATATGTGGTTCAGCATTTTGGAGCTCTGCCCTGAACACACTTCACCTGGTATTCTGTAGTATTGCTGACAGAGAACTTCAGTGCACCTCTACCCTAGCCACCATCAGGTCTTACCTGAAAACAGTGATAGTTTTGTAGAAAAGTTGATTTCTCACGTATATGACATGACTGCAGATCTGTTAGGACTCTACTTCATATATCTGTTCCATGCTGAAGTGTCAGTCTCTACCCTCAAACACGTTCTTGTCACAGAGGGAAAGAGCATTAGCAGGACCACACCTGGCTTCTGCTTGCATAGTGCCCAGTCATAAGTTTTCACAGCGTCTTCACCAAATAAGCCAAGTAACCAGGCTTGATACTAGAGACACTGAGAAGGATAATTTTCATATAAGAGGGGGAGCCACTTACTGAGAATAAGATCGCATATTGTTGTTATAAAGTGCCATCGAGTCGATTCTGACCAATAGTGATCCTGTATGGGGTTTCCTAGGAGCAGCTCATGAGCTTGAACTGCAGCTTGAACTGCAGCCACTCCTCAGAAACTCTACACCGGGTTGCTAGGAGTTGGAACGGATCTGACAGCATTTAACAACAGCAACAATGGTAGTCATAACTGGTTATTCTAGCCTTAGCTCTTTTATTGAACATCTGCCTGTCCCTGCTCAAATCACCTCCTGTCTCTTCTTGTTAAGTACCTTGGAAAGTTGGTCCTAACACACAGAATTTCCAAAGAGCAGTTTGTGGGTTTCAACTGCTGATTTGTGTTTAGATGTCCAGTGTTTATCCTAAGTGCTATACCTGAACTTGTTACTATTGATACTCTAAATTAGCAGGTCAGCACTGAGCACCTCTCTTTTTGAAGTTTTACTTATATACCCAGTTGAGAATCATGGACTTATTACGATCTCTGTGTTTGTTGTAAGTTTCATGACTAAAATTTTAAAGCTGATTTTTTTCCCTAAATTTTATTATTTTGTTTTTCAAAATAGTTTTTATTTGTACCAAAATACTCTTTTTAAAGAAAGAAATTAATTTCAAGGTTTTACATCACTGATATTTTTATTTTTTCCGTGTTCCTTTTGTCCATCTGGTTCGTGAGATACTTTATGTATAGATAACGATTTTATATTCAACCTGTAATGTTCATTGTATAGAAGCTTTAAAATTTTACATAAATTAATATAACTACCATTTCATAACAGCTTCATTTGTCACAGAGTTAGAAATGATCTATAATCCATTTTGTTTTTCTCATCATTTATGGTTTCTGGAATTTTTGAAGTTCTTTTAAAATTAGAGATAAATTTTTATATATGATGAAGTTTTTTTCAATTATTGTATATACAACTACAGTATTACAAAAATCCTTTTCTCCCCATTGCTTAGTAATGTTTATTAGGTATGTTAAAGCCTTTGTAACATATCCAGTCCGATGTCTTTGTCACGAGAGTGCAGTTTATTTTTGTTCCTCACACATACTTCAAAAGAACACATTATAGTTATTTACTTGCATATTTTTACCTTTGGAACATATGAAATGTCATTCACTTATATATTCTACTTTTCTTATTTGTACTTGTTACTCAATGGGAGTACAAGAAATTTCTGAATGATTGAATAGTGGTGCAGAAAAGAGGTTTAACTATATGGTAATGAAATGACACTTTGGAATTGTCAACTGATCCCTCCTTAACTTGACAATTATTTCATTTAATAACATTAGACAAGAGGTTAAGGTGATTGAGACAGCTCTCCCAGGGAAGTGGCTTATGGGAAAACAGTCTTACTCCACACATCCTTCCTTCAGCTCTTGTCTGTGAATGACCATGAATGACTCTCCTTGGATTATACTAGTCCCTCTGCTTGCTGTGCCCTCGTCATTTTCTCTGACAAGCCTGTGTCTCTTAAAACCTAGTAGAAGTTCTTCTTTTACAGGTGATATATTACACTATATGGCCTATGTGCCAGTGTGCTCATCTGTAAAATGAGATTATAGAACCTCAGGGCTGTCAGGACCAAACATTTCAATTCTCAAACATTCTAGGCACAAAATAAGGTTAGTTAGAGTTGCTGCTACTGTTCATTCTTTCCGTGTCAGCTTCCATTAGACATTGACTTTTTAGAAAAAGAATGATTTTTTATTTTTGAAGTTTAATACCTAGCATATATAATTTGCTTTAGAACGATTCATTCCTCTAAATTCATTCATTGCTCTATGTTCTTCATTGATTTAATGTTTCTCATTTTAAATGCCATTTAGTATCTCATCAAAAATTTTTAAATGTTTCAGAATGAAGATTTATTAAATGAAATTAAACAACTTAAAGAGGAGATAAAGAAAAAAGATGAAAAAATCCAACTATTAGAACATCAGCTCGTAAGTATTATAGTGAAGAGACATTTGACACTGGACAGTATCTAAATTTTCTATGAAACTATGAGCCAGAATCTGAAGTTTGACTGTTTTTTACTTTCAAAGTTGTGGTGTGTGGTATTATTCTTAGTCTCCATGCATTCTACAAGTATATAATTTGGCTGTCTGTCTAAAACGTTACGTAGTCAGTGTGTAGAAAACTGGTATGGTAGGGGTATCTGATCTCGCAGTGCTCAAGGCAGCAGAAGGACCAAGATCACCTGCCCAAGCTAAGTCTTGTGAGGCTGGGGTCAGACATGCCTTCACCATCCAACCTTATTACCAATTCTGACACTAATTTGTCCTTTCCATGCATTCTTTACTTTAAGCTGGGTTTGATAACTTACTGCAGTGCCCACGCAGAACTCATAGACGATGATGTAGTTTATTAGGGAAGTGACAGGCTAAAATTCAGGGTCAGAACTGACAGTACAGTCTCATTTTAGCTGTGCCCACAGGCAGGCCTCTCTTTAGCCACTGGCCCCTTGGCCTGGTCTCTATCCTGTTCAGATAAGTGTTACAGAACTTTTTAGCTCTGCCGGTAAGGGGCAGCCCACTCTGCCTGTCAGCCTCAGCTGAAGGCACACAGCTTTGGGTCAGTGACTCAACAAGGCTGCTCCTCTGATATGTTCCCGGGGGCACTCGGTTTTTGCTCTCTGTGGGCTAGGTCACCGCTCTGTCTCATGCCAGCCTCGTGGTTCTGCTGGCACCACTTCTTACCTCTGTGTCAGACCTTCTCCTGTTGTATCTAGCGCCACAACTCTCTATGTCTCCTGTATTGAGCTTCCCAGTGCGTAGATTCTGTGTCCATTCATGGCTCTTCTTTCTTGATGGTTGCAAAATTTCCCTTTTTGCTTCTGGAATGGTTCATTTAAGCCTAGCAGGATGGTAAAAGTAATCAGTCACCTCCTTACTGTAATATATACATTATTTGTGTGGTTCCATCTCACAAGGGTGCCATGCACCGTATTTACATTATTAGGAAACTAACCAGTAACCACAAGCACCTCCTGTTTGCGTCATCCTGAGTTCTGGTGTGGTGCTGTAGGATAAACACTTGATCGCAAGGTTGGTTTGAACCACAAGGCCAGTAGTTCAAGCTCAGCAGCTGCTCCTTGGAAACACTGTATGTGGTTGCTATGAGTCGGAACCAACTCGATGACACTTACCAGCAACAATTACGGAATCATTTGGAGTTCTGGTGTGGGTGCTGTAGGATAAGTACTGGATTGCTAACCACAAGGAAGGTGGTTTAAAACCCACCAACTACTCCTCAGAAACAGTATACAGGATTGCTATGAGTCAGCACTGACTTGACAACAGTTATCAATAACTCAGTCATTTGGTAGCGTTACAAAGATTATGGCTGCTGTTAAGTGCCATCAATTCGGGTCTCACTCATTATGACCCTGTATAGGGATTTTAGAGTTTTGTGGAAGTAGAAAGCCTCATCTTGTGGAGCAGCTGGTGGGCTTGAACTGCTGACCTTGTGGTTCGCAGTCCATTGCTTGTCATATGGAGCCACCTTGCTACTAGGACCGTATTAAGTAATTCACTGTGGTATGAAAGTGGAATTAATTTTTTATGTATTTTTTAATCAGTTTTGTTAGGAGATTTAAAATTCACCTGTTTATATTCATTTTGTTGTAAATAGTTTTCTTTAGACCCATGAACTGGTGCTAATATGTTGAGATTAAGCATTTCCTTTCTCTGAGCAGAGTGAGACTGAGCATTCAGGCTTAGGTATCTCTGCCGGGATTTGTTAGAATGAAGCCTGTTTTCAAAAAAAGCTCCTTTCCAAATGATCAAATGGGACGATCCATCAGAGTCAATTAATAGATTTGAGTGTTTATAATAACAATAATTGTTCCTATTAAAAATTTGATCCCATATGGAGGCCAATAAGTACAGTGTTTGTTAGTTTGTAGTAATAGAAAAGGCCAAGTGGGGTGGAAAGACAATGGCATAAAAACCCACAAGTCGGAAGAAAATCTTGAAAATCAAAATGATTTTGGTACAGTAAAGCAGTTCATCCATCTGAAATATGAATCTCACTCAGACTATAAAAGGTATACTTTGTTTTTTAAGGATGACTTAATAAACATAGCATCAGGCCTGATAGAAGACTTTAACAACCTTTAATATGCAGATAATAGAACCATGCTTACTGAAAGTGAAGAGGACTGAAAATACTTAGGAAGCCCAAAGAGCACAATCTTCAGTACGGATTGCACTTCAATATAAAGGAAACAAAAATCCTCACAACTGGGCCACACATTGTCAACGACTTCATTCTTCTTGTATCCACTATCAAGACTCATGGAAACAGCAAATCTGCTGTACGGGAAGGACTTCTGTAAAGTACTCAAGAACATAGATTCCAGTTTGAATACCAAAGTGTGCCTGACTCAAGCCATGGGATCTTCAGTAGCCTCATATACATGTGAAAATTGGATGACGAATAAGGAAGACTATAGAAGAATTGATGCATTTGAGTCATGGTGTTGGAGAAGAATATTAAAGCTACCATGAACAAGCAAATCTGTTTTGAAAGAGGTACAACCAGAATGCTCCTTGAAAGCCAAGATGTCCAGACTTAATCTCTCATACTTTGGACATACCAGGAGGGACCAGTCCCTGGAGAAGGATATTATACTTGGTAAAGTGGAGGGACAGCAAAAAAGAGGAACTCCTCCAGGAGATGGAGTGGCACAGTAGTAGCAACAATGGACTCGAGCGTAGCGTTTGTTAGGATGGCTCAGGATCAGGTGGTGTTTTGTTCTGTTGTGCATAGGGTCACTATGGATTGGAAAAGGGTAGAATTTGCCTAAGAACAAAGTGGAGAAGGGATGGGAAGGAATGTGGATTGGAAATAGAGGAACCACAGGGAGGAAGTTGAATAACTTGTTGCATAGAAGGAATTGCAGTCATGGAGATGAAACAAAGTGTATGATTTATTGATTGTAAAACTGATGATTTTGCCTGTAAAGCTCCACTCAATTCTCAAGAAAAAAATTTTTTTAATGACTTCCTATAAAATGGCAGAATAGGCAGATGCACTACAGGGACCCTCTAAAACAAAGATCCAAATGACCAAATGAAACAGACATAGACGGAAATTTTGGAACCCTGCTCTTCAGAGGAAAGGTTAGAGGAGTGACTTGAGTGTTTGCTGGGAAGAGAAGCTGAGCAGGGACAGTGAAACAGGGAGACTGAGTGGTAAATAGTTGGCCAGACATGGAGCAACTTTGGCCACAGTAGGCGGTCTGACTGAGCAGGTTAGGGGGGAGGTGTTATATTACAGCAGCTCCAGGCCCCCTCCCTGAGAGTGTCTCAGTAGCTCTAGATCCGTCATCAAAGAAACTGAGGCCACTCAGTGAGATGAAGCAGAATTTCAGATTTTATTAAGCCGACTGGCTTAGAGGAGCTAACTTCTCCAGATTCTGAGCCAAATGCAGGTCAGCACAGGCTTATATGGATTCAGAATCTGGGAGGGCTAGGTTGCAGACCTGATTGAGGACAGGAGACAAACCAGAGGATTGGTGTCTTGCTCAGTGACCTGATTAACATTCTAGCTGTCTCCCAGGAGAAGGCAGTGAATGTGTTTACCTTTTCCTGTTCAGTGTGATCCTTCCTTTTTCCTCATGCATTGTGGTGACCAGTGGAGTTGCCAGCTTGCATCCTTTATCCATCCCCAGCACAGACCCTGTTCTCCAGGAGTTAAGAGCCACTTGGTTGGGAGCCACCCAGTGTGAGGTGGGGGCTCTGGCTGTACCACTTTGTTGCATGCATCACTTTGGTGTCTAGATTGAGGCAGGCCCAGCTCTAGACCTATAGAACTTTTAGAGCTACCAGACCAGCATTTTAATGAGTCACCCTGTCCCCAGGTACCCTGTGGTCCTAACAGACACTGAAACCAGCTTCATCAAGGGCTACTATGAGCTACTTCCGGATTGAGTGTCCTGAATATAGATAAAAAGGAGGTTTACGGGGAATCCAGCTGCTCCTTGGAAACCCTGTACAAGGTTCCTATGGGTCGGAACTGACTTGATGGCACTTAACAACAACAACATAGGAAATCCAAATAGGGCCGGAACTGTGCTGTCACATCCCTCCCACACCCACCTCCTGAGGAGGTCCCTGGCTTCCAGGAAGCCGCCAACAACTGCACTGTTTGGTTTGCTTTTCAGTCTGCTTTTCCCTTGTGTTGTTTCATTGTTTCTTGTTTTAATTCTTTCTCCTCCTCCTTTTTTTTCCTGTTCCCTTGAATTTTATCCTTTCTATCTCTACTTTTGTTTCTTTTCTTTCGCTTTCTCATTTACCCCTTCTCTTTCTTGTTTTGATCTTTCTTTCTTACTCTCTATTCTCTTATTTTCAGTTTTCTTCTCCCTGTGTTTTAAATTTCCTGTCTTGTTTTTATCTTTTATAGCTCCAATTCCCTGTTCCTTTCTTCTTTTTTAGCTATTAAGTTTGTTTTTTTGCTTTTTCCCTTTTATTTTCTCTCGTAATTTTCTCTTGTGTAACTGCATTTCCCTGTCCTTTTGTCTTTATTGTTATTGTATTTTTTTCTGGTTGCTGCCTGGGTTTCTTTTCATTATTGGTTTCTGTATTGCTTACTTGTGTGTGTGTGTGTGTGTGTGTGTGTGTGTGTGTGTGTGTGTGAGTGAGGGGGTTTCCCTTTCCACCCAACATGAGACAGCAACCATGCCAATACAACTCAGCCATAACCGTTCCCTCTGCAAGAGCCAATACCACCTCCTATACTACCGTATCAACAACAGTACTCATTACCAGTGAAACCTATGCTAAACTGAGGTGCATGAATTTCCAAACGAGAACCAAATACACACTTCCATTCTCTACACCCCCAGGAGACACTAAAAACACATAAATATACACTCATTAATTAAATACAAATACAACAACCCCAGATTGCTTCAGAGACAACAGACAGTTTTAGCTTA